AAGGACCCTGGGTCTCCAGAGTTAGTGATTAGAGCTCAGTAGGCTGGCACACAAAGTAAGCATCTGGCTGGATTGCTATGATATTTCAGACTGCAGAGAGCTCAGAATTTAAGAAAAGTAAATTAACCATTTCTGTTTATTTACTTAAAGGCTTAGTTAAAATGGAAAAAAAGTAGAAATACATTTTGTAATAAAAGAGGCCCAAAAGTAAGTTCTTGATTAAACATGCAAGATTGGAAATACAAACTATTAACAAGGCTCTCAGGCACACTGAAGATGATGAGTCTGGGAGCTGAGCCAACACAAATGGATCTTTCAGAGAAGCCAAACTTTTAGTTTCCATGTTATCTTTATTTGTTTTGCTCTGATCCTCTTGTCAAGAGTAGTTAAAGTATTTCCTTCTCTCTTACATCACTCCATGACTTTTGTATATAACCACCAATTAACTTAAAGCGCATGCTTTGTAATTATGTCAAAGCTGGCGTCTATGATAAGAGCTCCATGTAAAAAGACATCTTGCTTAATTCAAACAAATCTGTGGTCCTTAAATTTGACAAAGTATTCCATCTTTGCACAATCATCTTTAGGTGTTACCTTATCGGACGACAGTGGAAAATGCCCTCCCCACCGACAACAAAATCCTAGAGGATCAACAGCGTCTCGCTGCAAACACTGACAGCTAAAATGCTGATTGTATGCATCCCTACTGGGTGTCTCCAGTCCAGCCTCTTATCTAGATGGACATCAAGGATTTTTGACTCCTCCACCACCTCCACTTCTTCTTCTCCCATGAAGATTACGGTGTTTGTTACAGTCATCTCCTTTGTCTTGCTAGTATTCAAGATAAAATGATTCTTCCTACGCTATGCCACAATGTAGACCACGAGCTCTCTGTACTCAACGTCTGGGGGAGTGATCTGAGTATTTCAGTGTATTCTGAATATTTCTGGGAATTAATGATGAGTGTGTCCTGTAGTACTTTGGACCTGCTGCAGTCTCACCAACTGTGGTTGGTTTATCAGGCAGTCTTTGATCAGGATGTTTGTGGAGGCATGCCTCTGTGTCATCTGGAGTTCCTACCACGTATGATTTCTCCAATTGTGCTGAAGGCTCTTCCAGAGGCTGCCTGACTGCTTCTCTGGTTAATGCTCTTAAAGCCATGTCTTACTAGGTTAGCAGTTAAGTCATTATTTTTCTATTTTCAAGCGTTGGATTAAACTGATTGCTGTCAGAACTTCAAATGGAATTGATCATAAGCAATCCCCACTTTAGACTTCTCCAAAACGGTCTCTCTGGGCGTACTGCTGTGTTCCTTAATCTGCATGTTGTTCAATAATGTACTTTAACGAACCTCAGAGGCCTTTGAAAAACAGATGGATTTATGCTGAGATTAACATACCAGCTGATGGGCTCTATTTCTAATCTGGTAATGTTACTGTTGATAAACATAACCTAAATAAAATGTAAAAGGAAAAACTCTTGTAATAACAAGCTGTATGACAAAATGCATTCACTCTGGTATTTCAGGTTCATATACAAAACATTTCATAAATGCAGCAGATTCCTTGGAAGGAGAAGCACCTCCTTTTCACCCGTTAAACTAAATCACATGTAACTAACTTCAATGCCACTCCCTATCACACTGTTGCTCCATAATAACTCAACTATGTTCGCTCATCACTGACCAGTTACTACACCCTACGTAGTTTGAGAAATGCTGGTTAAAGGGTTGCTTAATAGGCGTCGAGAGGTCATGAGGTTTATGACTATCATAACCAGAGCTTTATATATTAGATCCCAAATATATATTTTTATACTTATTTACATTTCTTTATTATTTGTAACTGATCAGGTCATGCAGTTCTGCTGCAAAATTGAGTTAATTGATTTCCAATTTATTACTGTCTATTTCTCTTTCCGCAACCTGCAGCTATTCCCAAATGCTACAATTCAATATCCTCTTATCCACCATGGGTAAACAAATCATGTGCTCTTTTTTTTCCAGACTGAAGGTTCAATGCTGAACAGGAACTCTTCAGTTTCCTCTTTTCTTTGTACTGGAGGAAGAACAGGTGAAGCTGAAGCGCAGTTTGGCTTTGCTCCCTACTGAACTGTAAATACAGCAGTCCCCGGCGCACGTAAACACAATCAAAGTGTGACCTTTACCAGATTTTGCCTGGTGTCAATATTTGAGAAGGTTAATGAGGAGAACAGGGGGCCTATTAGCAGCCTTGGTAGAGCAGATATGAAATTTGAGTCTAAAGAAGTGGACCTTCCACTTCATTTGTTTTCCAGCTGAGAAGAGATTTAAATTTGACAGTTATTGATCCAAATCAGTCATCAAGGGATCAACAGGATGATGTAAGTGAAAAGCAACATGCTGTCACGCATAGGTGTCTGAAGAACTGATAAAAATAACCACATTCATAGTTAAAGCTTAGATATACACTCTCAAACTTTAAGGTGACAAACATAAGAGTACTGTTTTGTCTAAGTCGGTTGTTGTTTTTGATGCAGAACTTTGAAGCAACAAAGCTTCGTTCCTGGAATACTTGTTAAACTCCAAGAATCTCACTTAAAAAATGAAATCCACTGCAAAGAAAATGCAGGAAGATGAATGTATACTGAGCTTAATATGAACCTTTTCTTTGACAGCTTCCCACCTCCCAGCATATGGCGCTGTTATGAAAAGAGCAATAGATGACTAAAGCCAAGAAAAAGCACTTGAGAGCTGTCGGGTAAACAAGATGTTATTCCAGTGATTCCTTCTAAAGCATGGTTTTGATTTTACACCTATCAGGCTTTTTAAAACGTTGCACCGAGAGTGTCTAAAACAGCCTGATGGGTGTAAAAAAAAAAGGGAAAAAGGAAAAAAAAGTATAGAAAAACAGTTTAAAGAGATGAACGGACAAAATGTTAGAAATGACTACTGGTCGTCTTACTAGGATCTTTGTTTGGGACTTTGGGATTAACAGATCTATGTACAAGTCAGCCATCAGAGCTGGAGGTCTGTTAAAAATTATCCTCCAAATGCTTTGATTAAATTCATAAGCAAATTAAACTCAGTGCTTATCTGAGTCGTGTGTGATAAAATAGGAAACTACACACAACTGATACCTGTGTTTATAGTACCATGATTAAAAATTAAACTCTATGCTAGAATAAAATCAAACTGTCTTTTATGCATAGACTATAGATTACAAAAGTAAAAAAAAAAAAAAAATCTAATATGGCTTAAAATTTTCAATAATGAGGTAAAATGTACTTTTGTTTGGACAAGCATAGGCTTTTATATGATTTTAAATATTAAAATAACTTGATTTGTTTGTATTAAACCACAATTTCCTCTCAAATCATAGACATGCTAGACTACAAGTAATTTAAATAGAACTGATCTGACAACATCCATTCATCTATTTTTTCCCGCTTATTCCCCCAGGCTCGCGGTGGGGCTGACGCCTATCTCCGGCAGTCTACTCCGGCAATCTCTGGTGTACCCCAGAGAGGTGGGGTACACCCTGGACAGGTCACCAATCTGCCACATAGAGACACACAACCATGCACTCACACACATTTATCATTGATTTTAGAGATGGCAGTTAACCTAACAGTTATGTTTTTAGACTGTGGGAGGAAGCCAGAGTACTCAGGGAGAACCCATGCATGCACAGAGAGAACATGCAAACTTCATGCAGAAAGACCCCGGGGAGGGTCGAACCTGGAACTTTCTTGCTGCAAGGCAACAGTGCTACAAACTGTGCCAGGTAGGCAAAGCAATCTTAAAGCGAAGCAGCAGATAAATAAAACAAAGTACCGGTATTGACATTTATAGTTCTGGAGAGGTTCGGAAAGACATTTATGGACTTTTGTCTTCATCTGAGAGATGCAATCCGGAACCACTGATCACAGAGCTGCACCCCAAAAAAAATTTAGATTATTCCAAAGTCCATTGAGAAAAGTATTGTAGTGTCTCACAAAATCTAGTGTAGGACTAATGGCAATATCAGAGTGAAAATCACCATCCTGACAGTCAAATATAATATTTTATAAATAATATAAAAATGAGTGTTTGGGGCTGCCTTCCTGACTGAAGCCTTGAACCATTTTCAGTAATTGATACAACTTTGAATTCTGCTCTCTAGAAGAGAATCCTAAAGAAGAAGGTACGCTCATCAAGTTACAGCATCGAGATTAGGTACACTGCCTACAGCAGAATGATCCTAAACGCTGGACCAAGTTCATCTCTGAGTGGCTAAGAGGAGCAAAAAGGGGATTTGAGGTGGCCTAGTCAAAGTTCAGACTTATGTCCAATTGAGGCATGACCTTTAATAAATAGTTTGTGCTTTAAAGCCCTTCTGCGAGGCAAATTAAAGCAGTTCAGCATTAAGGAATGGGACAATATTGCTCGATAGTGAAAATCACTCCAAACACTTGATGTCAGGTACAACCATATATTGACTTTTCATCCAGCTCCATGTGCTTTGAGATTTTTTTCTCTTTAAAAACTAAGTCCTCATCTAAAAAGGGAATTTTATTCTCCTCAGATCAGATCTTGCAATATGTTTCATGATCTAAAACCTAAAAGAATATCAAATACAGCAACAGCGGTAGAGATAAGTTAAAATGTAAAAACCTTTTCACAGTAATTCTCTGTTAGCTGGTCCAGAATCTCTCAGGAGTTTTGAATATGTCCTGCAGGATCGCACCCCATTTTCCTACAGTGTTACTGACAGCTGATGACATGATAAATGTTACCGATAGGAAACATCAGTAAGAGATGTGCTTCCTGACAGAGATGAGGACCAAAATATCTCCTTCCCTGATTTACCTTTTATAAAGTCCTGACTGAATTAGAAAGTTGTTTTGATGTTAACTATCTTATCACCAATCTGAACTATTTTTCTCCCACAGGTATAGTTATAACACACATAAATATCTGCATACAGCAAGTTTACAAAATCACAATGATGTAAAGATTTAGAAACAGCTCCATTACCTACCCAATAGATTCTTCTGAGGTTTCAGCTCAAGCCCTTTCCAGATGGGCACTGAGCAGCATAGAAGCCCCCTCTGTCAGGTTTCTAAAGGAGGCATAGTCCACCTGTGGAGGCCTGGCAGATCCTAGAAGATATGATCAAAGGTAAAACAGTAGCCGCTGAGAAGAAAGTAAAACAAATCCTGCTGTAACTTAGAGACCTAAAGAGTACACTGTGAGGCTTAAAAACAAGGAGAGGTGTGTGCTGGTGTATAGTTTCAGTCAGTATTAAAGGAGGGAGGAGAGTGAAGGGGTAAAGGAGGAGGAGACTCTACGTTTGTTCTGCACCGACTGCTCCTCGCCGTGAGAGGAACCATCTCAGCAGCTGGTTTTTCTGGTCCTTCCGCCCATAGGTGTGTCGAGGCCGCTGATCAAAACGAGGGAGGCACCTCCTGAGCTGCCTGCCTTAATCATAACCTCTAGAGTGTCACGATTGCATTTCACACAAAGGTGTGCATCATAGAGCAGAGTAAGGCCAGTGGCATTTCTGAAAACATAAAACCAGTAAATTTGCTTAGAAGCAACTTTATCAAACCCTCTGTGAATTATTTTATTATTCTCCCTTTATTGATTTCAAATTTTGTTTGGCAGAAAAGAAGTTTGACTATAAAGAGTAGTAAATCTTCTTATCTTTGCAGCAACACCTTATGGATGGAGTTAAAAATTAACTATGTGAGCTACTTGTTCAGTGTATTGGGTGTGTTTTTAGAAAGAAATGCATCACTCCTCTTTTTTTTCTCTTTTATTCTTCTGCGAAACAATGAGCTCTATTTAGACACTCATTATGAAAGGTATTCCCTGCAAAGGAATCCCTCTTGCAATCCTCTCAGCTGCTTGGTTGTCTCTCGCCAAAACAGAGCTACTGAGACACCAGGATCAAGCTTCACCTTCCCTCCAGGGGCTGGGTGGAGCCCACCATGATAAAGCAAACCAGCATCGTACTTTTGGAAAAACAAAGTGTTATAAGCTTCACTTGAGCAGACGTGCATTGTTCTGAATCCCATAACCTGCCGAGAGTGATGCAGATGACCCGCTTTTGTGTTCCCATGTTAGCCGGGCAGAAAATATTATGTGACCCCTAAAGGTAAAAAAGGCAGAGGTCAGATTTCACTGAGGTGAAAAATGATACAAAAAGGCATCCTGGGCAATGTGTTGGTCTCCATCCAGCGGAGGATGTGCAGCTGTTTTGTAGAAGTATAAAGATAAAGCAGGGAATAAGTCTTTAGGACTGTTTTCTGAAAAGCCTAGTCTGGAAGTAGGAATAAGAGTGATCCTTTGACCAAGAAAATGAGTAATTTTCAGCTTTTAAAGGGACAGGGTATTACAATAAAGTCACCTCTGTCTTACAGAAATATATTTTTTGACTGTTCTCCCTGCTGTCCTCTGGAAAGAGACTTCGAAGCATCCGATGCAGGTCCAGCAACTTCCAGAACAGTTTTTTTCCCCACTGCCATTAGACTGCTGAATATTGTGTAAAATTGGATAAAAAAAACAACCCTGAACATTGGAACTGTAACTAATATACAGTCGTATGTTTTCATTATTACTGCTGCACTTTAAAAAAATTTATTGAGAGCTGTACTTAACGAAATTTCTTTTTGTATACACTCTGTGTGTACAAAATGATTATAAAATCTGTCTAAATCTAAAGTGTTAATATTAGTCACAAAAGCAGTAATGTCCCATAAACTTTCCTGTTTTACAACAATACATTTACAAATGTCACGCATTTTACATAGATTGTATGAGCTAATCCAACAAAAAGGAAAACAAAACTGTAAATCTGAAGGAATAATCATACATGGTTACATTTTTTTTTTTTAACATTGAAATATGTAAAAGTGTGCATGTGGATTTGCACTTCCTGAGTCATTACTGCGTTGAAACACCTTATGCTGCTGAAATCGTGGCCCTTTCTGCTTTGAAAAAAAGCATCAAGGAACATCTGTGCACTTTCTTTCCATTGATTTTTATTTAGACATGGGTCTCAGCTTTTAAGTTTTAACCTTTCAATTTGCTTAATATGCTTCCATTGTAGCTCTGACTGCATGTTTAGGTGTATTGTACTTCTGGAAGGTAAACCTTTGCCTCAGTCTCAAGTTTTTTGC